TCCAGCACAAAACACACATGAGTATATGATAGTAACTGATCATTTTCTTTCATGCCAATCACTAGTTTGTTTCCAGTTAAAAATAAAACCACTGACCTGGTTCACTTGATTGAAACATCTTAGACCTCAAAGATCATGGTGGCCCATCCTGTCTTAACTTGATATATACTTTTCCTTCCTTCACTCTTACAGAAAGAATCAAGAGAGAAGAACTGATAATGGTGCAGTTTTGTCTAGCTCACACATCTTAGTTTCACCTTCACTTAATTTGGCAATACAGTACTGTAACAGAAAAAATAATAATTTGTGTTAACCAGCAACTTAAGGAAATTTTTCAATAGAATATGATTTATTACTCCCATGAAAAGCTTGAAAATTTGGGGAGGAAATTTTGTTTTTCAATATTTTTTACATCCCAAACACTATTACAGTATATATCCTTGTGCTTCAACACCACACTTACTGTTTACATCTGGGACGTGGGACTCAAACGTTTCACATGTTTTGTGGGCGCTGCAGCATAATATGAATAATTAAGTGTTGAACGGACTAACTGCACAAACGTGACCACGACACACACACGTAAACTCACTGTAATTACGTCTTCAGACAGGTAAACTGACGGTAATTAACTCTTCCCTCACTCAGGTAAACTGTAAACTCACCATAATCAGGTACACTTAAGAAAATGTAATATCCTCTCTTATCTTGATGTGAAAATGTTAACCGTGGTGAGTATGGTCACATTAACTATTTGCTTTGGGAGGTAAAAGAAACTGGAACACGTCTTTTTGACCGAGTGGTTAATTAAATGGGCCCCCTAGTTCTATTAGGCCCCATTGGTAATACTTTTTTACTTTTACTTTTATCCTCTTCACCACTGATCGGCTCCTTAGCCACTTGGGCGATCGGTCACGTCTCTGTTACGCACCGATGGCAAGTACAGTACTGGGCATTCACCGGCTCCTGAATGTACTTGAACCTGCTCCAGTGTTGATCAAGTTTGGTCTTGAAAGAGCTCACACTCGGTGCCGTCACAACACCTTCTGGCAGATTGTTCCAAGAGTTCACAACTCTCACTCCATTTACTGTTTACAAGCTACATTTTCAGGTAACCTGTTAGGTTGATGCTCCAGTGTACTATATGTGTGATCAGTGTTAGGTGGTTTTGTGAAAAGTACACCATTTTGTTTGTACTGTATACTGGAAGTTATATTGTAACTTACTGTGAAGTACCAGGGGTGATCCGGGCAGTTTGTATACAGGAAGTGTATTGTTTGGTACTCCAGTGTATGAGGTATCAAAGTAATATGGTGTCATGTTTAAAAGAGACACCAAGTGATGGTGATTGCGAGAGATGTACTGTACCTTGTTGAGAAGTACACGAGTGTTACTCATGGTGGTTGTGTGTACGGGAAGTAGTTAGAAGTTAAGCATTTTTGTAATAAACCATTTTTATTGTACGTTAGGGGTATTATTTTCCTACAGTGACCACCTTTATTTTCTTCCCCATATCTTGGTACAGTTCCACAGGTCTTACCCTCGAGCCATGCTTGGCGACACAGTTCTCTGGCTGTCTTTGTGTTTGGTATAGCAAGTAATACATAAAATGATAATAATTCCACAAATAAATACATTTATAACATAACCATAGCATTATTTTCCAGTGATACTACACTACAATACAACTGCACTACTATTAGCAATATTACTGTACGTACTTTGATACAGCGTTATAAAATGAACAAACAATGAAAATGAAACAAACAAAAGTAGGTAATTATGTTCAGGAAGCTTCCCTGTGGCCGAGGTGTGGCGTGACAGGCAAATAGTCACACTGAAACCTAATAACCCGTGCTGGGCATTTAAACAGTGGCGGGAAAAGGTGCACGTTCTGGAACGTCACCTGGGGTCTAAGGGTTAACAGCTTCACAACAGGGACACCACTTATAATATTCTAGTTGGCTAACACTAGACAATTTTGTTCAGCTCAGAAGAGACCCTGTATACAAGGGGTTACTATCAGGGATAATGTTTGGGTACTATGAAACACTCCAAATTTTAATACCATAAATATCCCCAAACAAAATATATACAGTATACAGGTTACCCTCACTGGTATAGGCCTCACAAGGAGCAGACTCACACATATGCAGATGACAGTACTCCTTACCACACACAGATGACAGTACTCCTTACTACACACAGATGACAGTACGTACTCCTTACCACACACAGATGATCAGAGAATACATGTCTCCTAACATAAATGGCTTCACCCATGGTAAAGGTGTACATAATTGCATCACCACATTCCTAACTGTGCATGGTGATGAAAGGCACAGATACACCACATTTCTTGACCTAAAAGCTGCATTTGATATTGCCAATAGGCAACTGATATTGTACGAACTAGCCAAAATGGATACAGGAGGTAGGCTGTTACACTGGATAAGTGGTTACCTAACCAACAGAAGGGCTGCTGCACTGTTTCAGGGTTACAAAAGTGAAGTTAAAGATATGCAACTTGGTACCCCTCAAGGTGGAGTACTTAGCCCCACTTTGTTCAATGTTCTTATGAATGCATTATTAAATTTAATACCAGACAACCCCAGCAATATCTCAATCAGCTATGCTGATGATATTCTTATACATACTAAAACTCATCGTGAAATGCAAACCACCCTGAACCATGTATACGCAGCCTGTGAACACCTCGGTCTTATTATCTCCACTGACAAAACTAAGGTGTTCAACAAACAAGCTGGTAACCGCAAACGCGGCCCCGCCAAGTTCAAGATAGGTAACAACACTATTGACTATGTTTCTTCTTTTAAATATCTTGGTGTTTCCGTCCCTTGTACCCTACCTGCCATACAACAGCTAACCCGCCAATGTACTGACAGACTGAGACCTCTTAGAAGTGTAGCGGGGTACAGCCCGCACTATGGTGCTAATATTAGAATTGTTAAAACAATGTACCTAGGCTATATAAGATCTCTGATAGATTACCACGCACCAGCCCTGGTCATTCGTGACGGGAAAGGCGTTGACAAGCTCGAGAAAATGCAAAATGAAGCCCTCAGAATTATCCTAGGATGTCCCATGAGCACTAAAGTACTTAATATGAGGAAAGAACTAGGTATACCCAGTGTTAAAGATAGAATAATTGAAGTCAACCTCATGATAGCCCTGAGGCTTCTGCGTGGTGATCCTGATAACATTGTTTCCTTAAAATTGCTAGAATGTATGAACCATGGGACTACTGAGTCTAAATGGATCCAAACTACAGCTACACATATGAAGATGTTTGGACTAGACCACCTGTACAAAGTTGAGACACAACAGCGCTTCCTGCCACCCTGGCGGACAGTTCCCTTCGATATCACAATACCGACGTATCCGCCTAAAAAATTAATTATACAAAGCATTTATCTCCAACACACTGCCAAATTGAGAGCTCTTGAACACATACACACTCTACAGACTGATGATAATATCACACAGACCATCTACACTGATGGATCTCTAAACACCGCCTGTGGGAGGGCTGGAAGTGCTATTGTTGTGACTCAACCTGACGGTAATATAATTGAGAAAGGAGTTAGAATTAACAACTGGGCATCCACTCTACAAACTGAATTAGTTGCCATACTCACAGCTATTAAATTCATTGAAACCACTGTTACTGACAGTCTCATCATCACTGACTCTCTATCCTCACTACTTGCCCTTGGTACCCTCGACTCAGGTTGTCACGCTCTTGTCTCTGAAGCCAGACACAAATATGCGTGCCTTGTTGACCGGGGTGTCAGGGTCAAACTGTTGTGGATCCCCTCTCACATAGGCCTCATAAAACATGACAGAGTTGATGCCCTCGCCAAACTCGCGTCTAACAAAGACACCGTTGAATACAATTTGGGTCTGTCAAAAAGAACTCTTAAAACTGTAATTAGGAAAGAACTTATTGATGAGTTTGACGCAAGTAGACAAGTGCAAACAGGCACTAGTCGATCCATAGGTTACCATGAAGAGATGTATCAAGTGAAACATGTATATGGAGCAAGCAACAAGATCACTAGATTACAAGATGTTGTAACCGCTAGATTAAGGTTAGGATATAAGTACCTTTGGCAGTATGTTCCTCAAGCAGATGTAAACAAAACTAAATGTAAAGTGTGTGGTCATACATATGGCCACACACTTGAACACTACGTCCTCGACTGTGTGAAGATAGAACCTTTTAGGGACAGGTCCAAGCACACTGTGTGTGAAATGGCACAACACTTCATCTCTAATGACAAGATAGCCTACATATTAAGACTGTATCCACTTTTTTGCACTTAGTAACTATATCAATTCTCATGTACAGAACCAAATACGCAATGTGCTTGAATACCTCCCACATAAATGTGAATAACAAAGTGTGAGGCCAGACATACTGCCTCACACGCCTGTACTCACGCATTTGTGAATAAGTTACCCTTTATGTATAGAACTAAACAAATAATGTAAATGAAATACTGTGTTAACATTCAGTGCCATAATATCCTGACAACGGGGGTTAATTATTATGACCCTTTGTAAACCCTACTCTGTAATCCTTTTGTGCTACCGCTCACAGGATGAGTGTGGGGTGCACAATAAAGTAGCCGCTGCAAGCGGCAAAATAAAAAATCAATCAACCTTACTACACACAGATGACAGTACTCCTTACCACACACAGATGACAGTACTCCTTACTACACACAGATGACAGTACGTACTCCTTACCACAAACAGATGACAGTACTCCTTACTGCACACAGATGACAGTACTCCTTACCACACAAATATTGTCTTTATTATTTATTGTCGTAAAATTAAATTTCTTATTATAAATCCAGGTATACCGATACTATAGACACCTAGTATCTTTATATACTGTACTGACTTTTTCTACAAACAAAGCTTCTGGCATAAACATAGGCAACCTGTGTGTGTGTGTGTGTGTGTGTGTGTGTGTGTGTGTGTGTGTGTGTGTGTGTGTGTGTGTGTGTGTGTGTGTGTGTGTGCGCGCGCGCATAAGAGATGTCACTATCTAACCAGACAATAACCCAACTTTTCATTTTGCCAGAATATAATCAGGTGCTCAAGAATAAGGCCACGGGATGTATGCAAGATGCAAACAGATGAGCTTTTATCCTGATTTCATGAAAATTAAAATAATATATTTATTTTTTTTATTTATTTTTACTGTTCATTTCCATATGATAACCTTCAAGACTCAAATAAATGTACAGTATAAGTATCACTTCCTGAAGAGTTTTCCATCAGTGTGCATATCACATCCAAAAAAGTTCTAACAACACAAAGAATACTCAGAAAGCGAAACAAAACTGTATACAGTACAGTACAATACATTGATAAAGAGGTTAGTATATACTGTATATTTTTCATTAATTTACACATCTCAAAATATAGCGTAATTGTTCTATAAATGTGAAATAACTAATTAAGCCCCTCAACTGCCACTTCCACTTGAGCCTCCACATAGAAAGGACCCTGGTTGAAGTACTTCTCGAGCTGTGACATGTGGTTTTCCGTGAAGATGCTGCTTGTTGACGGAGACTTGACGAGTGTCTCTACGACTGTCCACTTGCATTCCTTACCCAGTTTCTCTGACTCCGTTGTTCTGTCGAGGATGTATTCAATAAGTCCTGAAGAGAGAGAGATAAAAAATTAATCATGGAGGTAATTTTGAAGGTATAGATTAACAAATATAAGTTGACTCCTAAGATATGGCTGCAAATATCTCCAAAAAATTCATTTATTCACAGTACTCTACACATACTGGTAACAATCTGTGTTGCTCTTAATAAGTTTTAAGCCCTCTGAAATGTTTCCAATATGTTCAACATTAAACATACAACTCTAAAAACCCTAGGAAGCAAAATTATCAGTAATATTAATACTATGGATTTCAATGGGGTGTTTGGCTGATTATGTCATGCCTGAACACGTGTACGAAGACTCGATTTTATTTTAACTTAGGCAAATTTATCTCTTTTCTGGAAACTACCAACAATAACACAATAAAAATAGGAATTGCAGTTTACACTTAATAAATAGTGATATATCTAATTATATAGGTACAGTGTACTTGTGGCAGGGAAGAGTAGGGAGGAGATAGAAGCGAGGGACAAGTTAGGTACAATAAGGGAACAATTTGGACAAACATTTTCATCAAACAGAAAGAACATCTTAAATATACAGCATCTTCTCAGCACCTGGCTCATAACAAATAAGTCGCTGTCCCCACGGCATGTTGGCTAATGTGTTTAGGAGTCCGAGGGCAGCGCAGTGAAGATCCATAAAGGGCTGACGGGCCACGGCCACTACCTTCTCCAGGTTGACCCCACCAACACTTGCCCACCACAACTCCAACAGACCAGTTAACTCTTCAGTCTGGTACTCAATCTTGGGGGTTATAAAGAAACAATGACCAAAGTGACACACAATTACCTCCTTAATGGTACAAATACATCGTACTAACAAACATGATCTCAATATAGTAAGTCCTCGCTTAACGTCGTGGTTACATTCTTGTAAACCAAAACGTTAAACGGAATCAGTTTTCCCATAAAAAATAGATAAAATACGCTAGTTAAGTTCCCCAGTCTCCTTTTGCCCCCATAATTTAATTATATACATATAAATTCAATGGAATTTTTATAAGAAATATACACAGTATTATACTTCCAAAAAGATAAGCAAACACTAGATTAATGCTTAATTAATAAGATATAGTAAAACATTAATTTTGTTTTGTACTCACCAATGGGCCTTAATCTTATTTGTGTTGGTCCGGATATTACACACTGTTGTGGGGGTTAGGCCCAATGCTACACCTGTGTCCACAGCACATTCATCTTTATCAAATCAGTTTAAAACCTAAATTTTCGTAGCAAGGCTAATGGTCCTGCATTTCTTCTTCACAATACTAGCATCACTACCACTTGATGGGCACTTGGAAATCATTTTGATGGACTAAAGTACAGTATTTACAGCAAAAACACTCAAACACGTCCATATGCTGTGGAAGCTTAAGAAACCCTGGGAACGCTGTGATGATCAGCGAGAGAGAACACAGCATGGCAAGACGCAAGAGGCCACATTCTGCACCCCATACAAAGTGGTCCGTGCTGAGTGACAACGTTAAGGGGACATTATAACGAATCGGGAGGGTCATAAAACAACGTTGTCGGAATCATGGGTGTCTTAAAGAGTAGCAACGTTATAGTGAATCAACATTGTCTGGGACAATGTTAAGAAAGTACTTACTGTAACACAAATGGATTTCCTTTAAAATACATGTGGACCTTCTTAATAACACACAAGAAGGAACTCAAATTTGTTTTATTTACAGAATTACTACTTTACATTTTACCTGTACAGAGAAGAGCTGTGTGAGAGCCTCCAGCACACAGATACGCTGCTCGGTGGGCGCCACGCGCATTCTTGAACCTAACACATCCATAACTTCATCCATTTCAGTCTCTGCAGAAATCAAAGTCTCTTAATTAATGACTGTTGAAGTAATGACAAGTTGACAACACACAGAATAATTAAAACACCTATTATTAACAGGCAGCATAAGAGGGCATGTCGTCTGTTAGCACCGGCTAGCAGACCCACCCCTACCCTGTTCTGCATGACATGGGTTAGTTTGAGCCATAGGAAGTTTGAGTCTAGGAAGAAATTGTTCATTAAAAAGTGTTTTGAAATAATGGAATTCGTGATAAAGTGAAAAAAGTGGTGTCTTAAGAACTGCTTATGTTTGGAGTTATGCGCTTCATTCTGATTGGCTATAATTAAAACAAATGACTGCAGTGATGTGTTCTTGTTGGATGTCATTATTTTTTTTTTTTTTTTGCATTATTATTTCTGTTAATGTTAAGAGAAAAAGCGAGAAAACAAACTTTGTCATAAGGATGCTTTGCTACTAGAGGTATACCTGTATGCACAAAGTCAAGGCACAGATGACTTACTGAATTTAGCAAGAGCCAACTTCCCCGCAGGAGAACTTCCAATGTGCGCCACAGTTTGAATGGCCACCAACTGCAGCGTGGGGTCACCCAGGTCCAGGGATCCCGCAGCTAGACGTAGGATCATCACAACCACAGAGCTGTTTTCCTTTATCATCTGCCGAGGGCGAGAGTGGCCCATGTTTCCAAAGAACTTTATCAGGCCTGGAATTATGGAAATTAGTGTTTTAAAATTTAACCAAAAACGTATTCCAAGCTTGCAATATGTACTTAGTATGTCCAATCAATAGTATGGTACTTATCCAATATATGATCAATATAAAATTATTTTTTCAGCAAAATTAAACTCCTTTTACTAGCCTGGCATGAGGAGGGCAGTCATAGGATCTGTCTCAGCAAGTGACAGAAGGTACTGGAGCTTTGCAATCACTCCCCCTCTGTCTAAGAGAACCATGCCACTGGGGTTTAGGACGAGTGGTGTCAGCAGCTCGAGGGCGTTGAGTTGTGTGAGGATGTCGCCTGTTGTCACTTCTCCGGTCAGGCGGTCCAGTAGCCCAGAGTTAGATACAACACCCAGTGACATGTCTCCCAGCAAGCACACTTGTACTATAAACTTAAAAATAAAATAAAAATATTAAATTAGTACTCATATATTCCAAATGGTCATATTCAATAAGTGTACAGTAACAATAATTCTATGATGATGTGTTATATTCAAGTGATATACAATATTTATCTATTTTGAACTTGTCTACATATGATCAAAGCAATACAGTACACAGTATAGATTACAAGCAGATAATCCTGTAAGAGCGTGTAGATGGACCTGGTCTATGTACACTCGATCCCAAACTTTATGGAGGGGTCTGATGAATTTGAAAATGAACACAAATCATGAAGATACTTTTTGGAATGAGTGAACATATGGGATCCAAGCAACTGATCAACAGATGCGGTAAGACGGAAATATTACTTTATCAAACAACACTGTATACAACTGTGTAATATATTAATGCAATACTCAATTAATAAACTCTTATAACCTTATACAGTACAGTACTGCAATTATGAAAATCTGTACTGATCTTTTACATAAAAACACTTTGAATACAGTATATATAAGAAATAAATAATTGTCTTTATAAACTGATGATGATGAACAACAGGCTTCATTCTATCTGAGTTGGTTCTTACCTTCTATCTCAGTTACTGACCTCATAAACATTGAACCTGTAGATGTCTGACTTTGACATCACTTCCTGCATCACTGGCACAGACTCATTAGAGAACACAGCATTCAGTCCGGCATCCTGACCGCAGATTTTAACCAGAACACGCGAGGAAATTTTGACCACACCGAGAGAGTTATCTCCAAGGCATCTAACGACTGATAACAATATGCTGTGATTTGTTATTACCGACACTATTCCTGATTCACTCTCAGCACATGTCAACACCTGAAATATAACAATTATTTGTAGAATCTTGTTAATATATGTATTAAAAGGAAAGCAATACCTAATAGGGCCAGCACTGTGTAAGTGTTAGGTTGCATGAGAATTCTAGTCAAATGTAAAAAAAAAATCAAGAAAATGGGGAAGTTTCAGGAGTGGGGAGAACAGGAAATGATGGACTTCCAGTGAGACACAGAACAGTGACAACAGCAGCTGATAAACACAGTACTATAGCCAAAGCATCATAAGTAGCTATGGGGCAAAAATATATTTATGAAACCTTTGTGTACATTTTATCATGGACATAGACTAAGTTTACCATTTTAATACAATAGTTTTTACTATCCAGAAAAAAAAAGTAATTGTCGGGCCCCAATACACCTAATATAATATATGCCTTGTGTTTCAGTACACAAGATCAAAACTTAGATTTTGTTCAAATTTCACACAAAGGTCCTGCTTTAAATGCTGGTTAAGGACCTGCATTTGAAATTTTAAAACAAGAGAGTAATTAGTGTTAAGTAATAACCTTTGAAATAATTTAATAAATTTATAATATTTATGAGTATTCAATGTACATGTATAGCTAAACAATAAAAAAATATGTATTGAATTATATTTATAATAAGATTAACCATACACATATTTCCTTACCAGTTTCAGAACTAGGCTGCGAACCTTCTCATGAGGATGATTGAGGCCTCGCAGCAGCTGAGCACTGAACCGTTCAACAACTTCTTGAGCACTGATGGAGGGCAGCAGCAGCCCTAGTGTGTCTACAGCTATTTCAACTTGCTCACTGTTGAGTGGATCAAGTCCACAGATTAGGGTAAAGAAACTCAAGAGAGGTATTGGATATAAAAATTGTATATTGAGCTCCTCCAAGATAATGACTAGTAGAACAAAACCTAAATGGATAGTATTTCTAATTCATGTCGCCTTCTGTCAGAAAAAGAGAATTTTTGCACATTGATAATCTGGCTGGGGTGTGCTGGAAAAAAACCCCAAGGGGTCCAACGAATTACCCAAAAGTACCCAAATGTATATTAAATCAGGGTAAAATCTTAACGAATATCTGTTATACATACAGTACACAAAACATGTCTAATAATATTTTTAGTGTAATTTTGTAAAAATAATTTGTAAGATGAAATAATAAACAGCGAAAAACTTTCAGTATTGGCAAACGCTAAATTCCAAAGAGTTCGTGAACAAGGGAGATAACTCAGATCCATCGTGATGCACTTCGCTAACCTAACCTAACCTAACGAAAAGTAAATCCTACGGCTATGTTAAATACCCCAAAGTAACAGAAACATTGGTAATTATATCTCCATTTTGGATCGGTGACTCTTTGGAATTTAGCGTTTTTCGCTGTTTATTATTTCATTATTTTGACTACATTTCAATGAAAACATTATTAATCAGGTTTTATTGATGTAAAACATATATTCGCTAAGATTTTACCCTGATTTAATATACTTTTGGGTACATTTGGGTACATTTGGGTACTTTTGGGTAATTCGTTGGACCGAAACCCAAGTGATAACAATTTTAAAGCATGCATTGCCGTTAATACTCACTCGCTGTTCCCTGTCCTGTAGCCACGCCCTAATCCATTTTAGAATATCTCCTTTAATGCTAGTGACTGACGGCGGAAATTAATGTCAAATTCGTTCGAAACTCATCAAATACCAAAAGAAAAACATATTTCTAATAACAAAAGAAAGACTGGTGACATGTAAACAAATCATGTCAACACTTGTGGCTGAGGAAATCTAATAATATTGAAAAATTAATTTCCGGCGGAAATATCATCAAAGAAAGATGTACAGTATTAGAATTGTCTAAACATTATGAAATACATATTAAAAACAGCGAGAGAAAGACCGGTGTAAGGCCATAAATTGACCTTTACTTCTTTCGTTATTATTCCTTAGTTAGATGGATAACCTTAGAAAGTGTTCTTAAATATTACAGAATTCTTCAGAATGTTTCTTGCTGCATAGCTGGTTAAACATGGAACCGTTGTTAAGTGATAACCACACAACTGCAGTCGTGTAAACCATGTATAAAGGGACCATAATACCCTAATTTGTACTTTGATATCACCAAATTACATGACATCAAATATAATGCAGAAAACTTCCATAGGTTCACCAGGTCCAAGAGCCTTACCTGTCCGAGCTGTTGATGCAGTCAAATAAACCATTAAGTTCCAGATGTTTATGTGAACCAAGCCCTTGTGAGGTTGTTAATGCTATGAGCAATGTCTTTAAATCTGACAACAACTTCTTAGAGTCATTAGAGATGGTCAGCTCACTCAACAACTGAACTACCTCGTTGCCTGCCATCTTGGTCACTAACACAACCCTTCAGTGTTTAATATAATAATTAACTTAAATATACTTTATTCATATATTAATTCAATACAATATAATATTTTATTGATTATATTAAATTATATGTTTTTTCTTTGGTAATATAAACTTGAGAAGAAATAAAGGTTTAATGAAGGTTATTTTAGACCCGGGGATGTAAACATTGACTCATTAACCACCTGACACACATCTTGACTTTGCCGTTATATAAAAAGATATGTTTCTTAATTAAAAATGACCATTATATCCAATTTAATGTAACGGAAGATTTAATTTATAGTGTGACTTATTATCTTTAAATATTAAAGTCAAATGTCAGTAATAATAAATGAATACATGTACTGTACAAGACTGACAGACATATACCCTAAGCTTTCAGAGGTCAGGATATATGTCAGGGTTATTGTTTATTTAAAAAGCGTCGGTGTAACTATAGTATGCGGTCTATCGAGGTTGAGTTGTTTTTACCGGAGTATTTACACTGTAGGATCCATTAACCTAACCTGACCTATCTCGACAAACTGTGCCGTGGGAGAGGCAAGTGGGATACAGCTGCAAATTTTAACAGCTGGAAGCAAATATTTAATGTTACAAGCTGAAAATATCTCTGAATCATTTATTTTATAGACAATAAAACAAACTTGTCTTACCCTCAAACTATAACTACCTTAAGTTGTTTGAGTCTTGTGATATCCGTTTTTAGTTTAATAATAAATAAGTCAGCCAACATGTTCGTGGCTGGTCTCTAACATTGATCACTTGTACCAGCTGTGTTAAATGGACCTAAACAGAAAGAAAAAGCTGGAGTGACTTTAAATAATTATTGTGGCCTTTTGGGAACACAGCTGACAGTGACGTAACACGAATGTAAGAATAGTAGTTAGAATTTCATATTTATTTTATAGAGGCCATAAGCTAACTCGCCATTTAGTTTTGAGCGGAACCTTAGGCCAAATTGGACCTTTGGGGTTGAGTAGTGAGAATGCATTTTGTGTGTTTTATAGTGTGATATTTTTTTTTTAGATAATGTTAATGCGAATACAATATACTTCCTGCATGGTGGATGATAGTGTGGCACCATTTCTGTACATAATCCTTTACGATGACAATTTGTCCCCCTTTTCCAGGAGCGCTAAACTACAATTATAATGGACAAACAGAAGGCCAAAATCCTATTTGACCTTCTGAGGTCATCTTCGAACGATAAGGTCATCAGAGGTTTACGAGAAATCAAGAAGAGATTATTGACGAACAACGAGAATATAGCAGTCTTTCGGTACGAAGAATGTTACCTTAAATTATGTTTGGTTTGATTAGGTCAGGTCAGATCAGATCAGATCAGATCAGATCAGGTTAAATTATGTTTGGTTTGATTAGGTTAGGTTTAGTTAAAATGGGTTACATTAGATTAGGTTTAGTTAAATTAGGTTAGATTAGGTTTGGTAAAATTATCTGAGCATTAAGTCTAATAATATAATACCTCTTGTGTTTTGATTTACAGATGAAAACCCCAAAGTATGTGTGAAATATTTTGGCATTTTTAGAATTTTTTGCTTTGTAAATACAGTACAGGTATAAAATTACTACTATACTGAATATTCTTCTACATCTATTTCACTTACAAGCATTTTATTTATTATTATCTTTTGATTATTACATAAACTCCCCCAAAAATTTATTTAACATGTTTTATAGCATTTGATGGCATTTTAGCGAAGTTATTTTCATAGGAACGATCTTCCACCAATTACATTTCAGGATGCTATCATCCTCCCAAATTCTGAAATAAATATGTTAAGCCTCACCATTTCCTCCAATATGTCCTGGAAATCACACATCCTTAGTATAACTAAAGCTACCTTCCTGAAAATTGGGAATGCTGTACAGATGCCGCAACTATTTCACTCCTGAGCAGTTGCTCCAAGTATATAAGGGATTCATTCATCCTAACTTGGAGTACTGCTCTCATATCCGGGGTGGCTCTTCTTGCGTCCAACTATTAGATAGGGTGGAATCAAAGGCATTTCGTCTTATTAACTCTCCTCCTTTAGTCGACAATCTCTCTCCCCTTTCTCTTCTCCGCAATGTTGCTTCACTCTCTCTCTTTTACAGGTACTTTAACGGGCAATGTTCAGTGGATTTGGCATCCTGTGTACTGCCGGCAAGGCCGTGGGTTCGTAACACACGTCTTGCCCGCGGTGCCCACCGTTTCTCTGTGGATGTCGGTCACACGAGAATAACCCGTTATAGTACCTCCTTCTTTCCTCACACAGCCAAACTGTGGAATGCTCTGCCTTCTTCTGTGTTTCCATGCTCTTACAATCTGTCTCACTTTAAAAAGCTGGTTTTCTGGCATCTTCGTGGTGTAGATTAATACAGTATAACCTTTCTTTCTATATTTTCAATTTCTTTCCATTCTTTTTTTTTTTCGCCCCACAGGCTCCGTTGTGGGTCGTTTGACCTGTGCCCGGGTGGGCAAATTCCCGTAAAAAAAAAAAAAAATCTGAACTTCTCTAATGAATGTCTGTGATGAAAGTTTACTTCAGTTTACCAAAGGTTTATCAGGAATGGAACCCTTTCATAAATCGAGGTCTGTGTGTAATGATCTTTTGTTTTCATGTTCACAGGAGTTTGGGGTTAGTTCCTCAGACGCTGAAACTGGTGCAACGACCCAATGAAGATATTCTCAATGGAGCTCTGAGTATACTGAGTGGCTGCTGTACCAGTGAAGGGAGCCGGAGTGAGGTCAGTCTCTTCCTCTCTTTTCTCAAGTACTGTATACACCTTCACTATCTATCGTGGCTCACATTATTAACCTCTTCCGCTTCACTTCAGGGACACCACTTTTAATATTTTATTTAGGTAATGTGAGATGATTTCATTCAGCTCAGAGGCGACCTCATACACAAGGGGTTAATTTAATATGTAATGAATATTTACCAATGAGAAAAGAATACTGAATATCATTGGTGAATTACTTCAATCGTAAATAAAATGAATTTTTAATCAAGTGAGTCATTTGTTTTGGAAAGTTTGCAGTGAAATCTTTATGGGAACTTATTATTTGATTAGTGAAGAGTGAGTAAGGAAATGTTGAATATATTGCACAGTTGCCAGCAAAAGTCCTACAGCCCTGTGTAGCAAGTGTGTGGGAGAACTTTTGCTGGCAACTGTACCTCTGAGATGTATTAAACACCTTCATCGTAACTAAAGTTTTATATAATTTCAGGTATTTAACATTGGTGGTGTACCTCACCTGCTGAATGTGCTTAAATGTGCCAAATCAGAAGCTCTACAGCTGCGTGCCTGTAGGACCATGGCCAACCAGGCGCTGCACCGACCCAGCTGTGAAATTTTCTTCAAACTTAAAGCTGTAGACCATATACTTGAGTTACTTTTAAACTGTAAAGAAGATGACACCAAGTTGGCAGCCATCAGAGCTTTAAGGTTATTACTTAAAGTCTGTTGAAATAACTATTTATTATATATAATGTACATACAGTATTAAAATATACTCTAATCACATTAATTCTTACAACTTTTTATGTCTGTAATCATACTAAAAAAAAATTCATGTGTGCTCTATCTAACTTAGGAAAATACTGTAAATGTTGATTTTTTCTTCCACTTCAGTATGTATAAATTATAAAGATTATGATTTTCCCTGACCACTATTAATGCTAACAGGTGACAGTGTCATACTATAAGTTTTAGAATTGGCACTGCATTATATTTTAAGTCTACCAAGGTTATCAGACTATAAATTGGTGTCTGATTAGATGATGTACAGTCGTATACCATATAAAGAGATACTGGTTACATGTGTATATTTCCAGATTGTTGGCCAGCAGTGGAGAACATTGCCAGAAGATTGTGATGAATAAAGGCATCCTACACATCTGTAAAGTGGGCTTTGGTTCTCCAGCTTGTCCGTCGAGTCCCGAGCTTGTGCAGTCTACCATAAAAGCCATCGCGCATTTTTCACGAGTGTCTCACCCAGCATGTGTGAGTCAGGTAAGTTAGTGGGTGAGTGATAGTGTGAATCAGATGAGGCAGTGGGTGAGTGTTATTGAGAGTCAGTTGGTGAGTGAGGGATAGTGTGAGTATAATATTCAAACATGAATATCATCCTTCTCAGAATTTATAAGTGGAAATTTGTACTGCTAGAATTACTCTTAATCTTATTTCCCACCTCATCCTCCACTCGGGTATACGACACCTGTTTATCTGAAAATTTACATAGTTCGTTTGTTTTTTGTTAATGATTCCAGGTAGATGAAGAACCAAGCAAAGTTTATACAGTATAATGCTAACTGAACATAACTTTTACAGATAATGGAAGGAACTAATAACATGATGTGTGTAACAAAAATGTCAGGGAGCACGGACCTGGAAATCTACGAGTGTGTGTTACGAATAATTTTAAATATAATACACACATGCTTTGAGTCGACCACACATAGACGCGATGCCTTGGATGCCAAAGTAATTGATCATCTCTGTACTGCTCTGGCTCCCACAATCATTGTATCAGAACTCCAGAATAGACGGGTGACAGGTATTGGTAAGTCAGATGCTGCAATTGATTTATTTCACATTTGAAACTTTGCTACAGTCAGTCAGTCACTCAGGGGCTGTTTTGTTAATCATGACTGAATATGTGCAACATCAGAAGGTCATTTATATGGCAGGCAACGTGATTCACGGTCAGAGAACATTGTTGATAAGACAGCAGGGTGATAGGAGAAGGTTGGCCTGTGTACACGATTTTCTGTTTTTTTAATTTTTGCCTTTGGATTTCAGAAGAAGAGAAGCTGATTCTAGCTCTGTGCAAGTTTTGTAAAGGATCCAGTGAATGTAATAACTTGGCATTTGGGTCATTTTCTGAACCTCCAACGTTTCTGGGACGGGCATGGACGCAGCTGATGGAGTGCGGGGGGGTGGCACTGCTCGTCTCTCTCTTGACCACACATCGCAATCACGTCAAGCTCAGACCAGCCATCTTAAAGGCTATACTTGGAGTAGAGAATATATACTCATTTAAAGATACAGTAAGTGTTTGGTAGGAAGTGGTGAATATATTGATTGATGAGACAATTTTGCTGCAGTGAATATTTTATAGAATTTTTATTTTAGATGTTATTAATTTTTCATATTTACTTGAGGTTTATAATTTACAGATTCTGAAGTACTTTCTCGCTGCCAAACTTCTTCCACAACTGGCCGAGCAGTTTGATGAATTAATGGCCGAGTATAGGAAGCTGCGCCAGGACATCCAGCCTGGCTGCTGTATTCATACCATCAGGAGTGAATCTCTAGATAAACAGAATGAATTACAAGAAAGAGACGAATCAGAAGAAATGGAAACTAGTGATGATAAAGAGATGAAATTTAATATAGAAGAGAAAGAAAATCCAAGCATAAAAGAGGATGAGAAAGATAGTTGTGTTTCAAGTGTAAGTGAATGTCAGGTTAAACCCAGTAGCACAAGCACTGCAGAAGTGCCTTCTTGCTCAAAATTAGCTGTTGCAAAAAATGTTTCAAGAAGTGCATCTCAGACTTCTCAGATGATAACACCAAAGGTAAATGATACACAGTTCAGCTTTCCCAGCACTGAGGAAGGAATATTAGGTCAAAATTTTAAATCTAAGATGGACAGCTTCCAACAAAAGTCACTGACTCTTCATTCATTTGTAAAAGAAAATTCCAAAAGTCCTCTTGACAGCTCTCTGCCTGCCTCTCCAGATAATTCCACGTACAGTAATCCGAGGAGCCCTTTAATGTACAGCTACCATAACCCAAAGAGTCCTGGAAGTTTGTCCTGCTCTCCTCGGAGTAACCAGTCAGGGTCAGGATCCAGCCACGGGTCACCCACGTGGTCTCCAGCCCAAGGCAGAAGTGAATCGCCAACATTCTCACCGCCTTGTTTCTCTCTACCTCAGAGTAGCCCCATAAATATTCTCCCATGGCCTTTTGACTTGTCAACTCCAGTGGCCCCATATATATCACCACCGTGTTCCCCCATTATGCAGTCTCCGCCTCGCTCTACATCTCCAATTAAGTATCCTTCAGACTGGGAGTATGATGATGAGGAGGAAATGGAACAATCTGATGGGGATGGAAGGTTTTCTCCTGTAGTACATGATACCAAAGGGAATGATTGTGAAGAGAATAAAGAAGATATAAGTGAGCTTGAAGAAGACAGTGTTATTAGTAATGATGAAACCTCCCAGGAGGGAGAGACCAGCGGCACAGCTGGTAATACTAAAAACCCATTGACTGATGACATGAATGTTAGTGAGAACCAAACATTCACAGAGGATATAGATGAAAAATTAATGATAAGTTCACCTTCAGGAAAGAGGTTAAGAAATTCATCTAGTACTATTTGCTCAACTGTAGATATACCTCAGGGAAAGAAAATTAAATGTGATCTAGCAATTGAAACTCAGGAAGAAAGTGAGTGCAACTTAGCCATGAGTGAAGAACAAATGACTGAAGGTCAGTCATCATCTCTCGAGCCATCCGAGAAAGAAGCAGATAAGGAACCAGTGGCTGAAGGGGAAGCAGGAAAGTCGCCTTTTGTGCGTCTCAATCAAATTAAGTTCCGTGTGAGGAAAAAGGGTCTCAAACGGCAGACCGGCCTTCCTGCTGGAGACACCAAGTCTGATGTGTATAGTCCAGTTAAGGTTTGAACATTATTTTTTATTATTAAATTAAATTAAAATTTTTAGGGTAGGTTATATAAAATATATATCTTATGCATTGTCAGGAGAAAGAGAATTGGAAAGGGTTGTCTCGGTTAGGATAAATGTATTAGGCAAGGCTTGCAATGTGTTTAAGTAAACAATAACAGATATTTAATTCTGGAGTTGGGCTAGATAGGACTTAGCCTACTGGAGATAGATATTGGGAGATTCATTCCTATATGCCGTAAAATATGGTAACTGCTGCATGACACAAACCACTTAATCTGATCTTATTGATAGAAGAGGATTTCAGGATCAATCCTCATCTTACAAGATGACAACTTTTAGAGAGTAAGTGCTGCTTGGGATGTGTTACTTCATAGTAGAAAATAATTATGAACTCAGGTTTAAGTAGATATACAGTAAACAGTACTCTTCAAAAAACACCTTATTACTATGGTTTAAGGAAGGCAAATGGTTTACTGGAGTAGAAATATTTACTGTTGCTGTACTTTTATCTTTATCTCAGATTTTTTCTCTTTTTCCTTTATTCTAGGAATTGGAGAAAAGTCCAGAAGTGAAGCAGGGTGACTGTCAGCCACTCCGGGGTGTTCGGCGGACCAGCAGCATTTGCTCCAATGCTGTTTATACTGATTTATCCACAGAGGATGCACAAAATCTGGAGCTATTAGAACTGGTTGTGCGAGCCATAGGACAGGTAAGGGAAAGTCTCTCTTGAGTTGTGGCTTAAACTCTGGTTATCTGAGTTGATCAACAAGTAAAACAAAGCTCGAGTCTTTGATTGGCAAATTATAGGGAGATTTATGGAAGAAAATGTTCGGACCCAATGATGAGTAGTTGTGTATTGTCAATATAATTTTTACCTGTATAATTTTTACATGGATGGTCAACAGGTTGCTCACGTGAAGGAGGCCATAAACCCAGTGTGTCGAGAGTTTGTGCCACGCATCATGACCTACCTCTCAACAGCTCAAGTGATCCATAAGTCAGCAACCCGAATGCTGGTTACAGTTGCCAGGTAAGCTGATGTCTTATTGAAAGGGTACAGAAATATATGGTTCCCTTCTCTGCCAGGGGACCATGTCAGAAGAACCTCAAGGCCACCTGTCACTCAATACATGTTTTTTGCCTTCTCTTCCTGTTAAGGGTATGGAGTTACCCACTAGCTGTTGGATGCTAAGAATCAGGAAGTCAACACCTGTCTGGCCTTCTGGCATCACAGTAGAAAAGAGCTAACTGTATGTGCTTGAAAAGAAAAAAAAAGATAAGTAAAGTGACTCCTTAACTTAGTGACAGAACATGCACTGCAGACTAATGGTTCTAGAGAAGATTTTTGGCAGGAATAAAATATTGAGGCCCCTATCTGTATATTAATTATTGTACACTCAATACAGTACTTGTAATCAGTATGGCATAGATACATTTGCCTATTGTGGAAGTAACCCTTGAGTGGACTAGCAAGCAACCTGCCAAAGAGATAAAGTAACTGTTATATTCACTCCTACCAGATAATGGTCAGATACTGTGTGAACAACCCACATTTAGAGAATTCACTTCCTTATATTGTCTTCCAGTCACTAGTTCATTAAACTATAAGTTGTTATTTCATGGAGATGTTAACCAGAATATTAAAATAAGTAATTTGTTTATGAAACTGATTATATGTATATTTTTTTTTACCCATAAGGCATTGCTATGAAATATAACTCGTATAATAATGTTCAAATTGTGTTTGAATGATTGAAAAGTTATCTTGGGTATAGGTAATAAAATTCATAACGGTATATGTCAACATGCTACTTAAACTTTAGGAAATTAATCGGTAAACCACATAAGCAGTTTGATAGCCCATTTCACTGGGTTGTTTCCCTTATTCATCAAACTTTATTTTGACAGAAACTCCCTGTGTATCCAGCCTCTCCTAGACAGTCTCTTTATCCCTTACGTGGCGGTAGAACTCGGGGAGGCTGGCGACCCGGAGTCTCCCAATGGCTGCCCACAGTGCCGTATCCTCTCAGAGGGAGCCGTGGCTTTTTTAGATCAGATGGTCAACTTCTTCAACCACATCCATCAGTATGGACAGTGTGAGGTCTCCAACAGACTGCAGAGAACCCGGGAACACAGTGTGAGGGAGGGGTGTGTTATGGCACTCCCTCACATAACCAGGTAAATATTTGTAGTGAAGTAGACTCATCTTTTATACAATATTAATGAAAGACTGACAGAAAATGAAGGTAGAGTCTGTTAGTTTGTTTATTGAATTGGCTGTTGATTCTTGTCACATAACCAGGTAAATATTTGTAGTGAAGTAGACTCATCTTTTATACAATATTAATGAAAGACTGACAGAAAATGAAGGTAGAGTCTGTTAGTTTGTTTATTGAATTGGCTGTTGATTCTTGTCACCTGGCATCACCATGGGGGGAACGATTTTGTACTGATACAGTACATAGGCTAAGATGAGTACCTGGCTACATTCCACATCAGGAGTCATAACAGTCATGTCATTCCTCACAAGCCACAAAAGGTTTAAAAAAGTTTGCATATATCCGTGGTTACTGAATCTGTGTTAATTTTCTGTTTGTAGGTGTCCTAAACTTCTGTATGACTTCATGGTGGGTTACCCAGCATTAGACATGCTTATGAAGGTCCTGCACTCAGAGATGCCTCCCAATGAAGCAAGCTACATGTATGCCACTGCAGCTATATCAAGACTAGCAACCACACTTCAGGTAATATAATTGTCTTATTAATTCTGTAGGTTACCAGAGAATTAATCCATTCCCTCTTTTCTCATTAATTTGTTTCTCCTCCATGTGTTTAGTTTAATGTGAAGGCTGTGAGCATTTAGCATGGTTATCTCTTACCTTCTGACTGTTATTTATCGCTGATTTGGTGTTGTTGGAGATTTCAAGTTGTGTAATCATCAAGTAAATACAGTTCAGGGCCAGTTTCTTCAATCTTTGTTTAGACTTCATACTGTGTGGATGGCTCCCCTGTATCTGGGTGTTCTTTTGTTTCCATATGGGACACAGAGATACAGTAATTACCTTTATCTCTGTTTTTAGCACTAGTGAAGTGTCAGGCCTGTGCTGGGTCGAAGATATATTTGATTTCACTAGCGAGTAATCTGATCTATTATGTTAAAATAAATGTTAACTTATACTGTAGATGCTGGAGTCTGGCCTAAAATTTGTGAGGAACTTCACTCACTGGCTTTTGCTGCAAGCCAATATAGGATACAGGTATCCCTCATTTAACGATGGGGCTGCGTTCCTGAAAAACCTAACATTAAGCAAAATTATTGTGAAGCACAGAGGGGAAACAACAGGTTCAAACACCAGAGTGGTAAATGCTGAGTTTAGTTCTGTGCTCCCAAATAATAATACTGTAATAAACGAATTCATTAAAATAAATTTTGAAGTTACGATTCATTTGTTAACACCAAACTTCTATACCTGTACTGTATAAACAATGTGGTTCAGAGTTATACCATTTAGTGAGCACAAGGTGAGCTTAATTCGAACAGATGTTAAATGGCATATGTCAAAAGTGAGCAAAAATTACATTGAAAAACATTAATATTGATACATAGCATATCATAAAATATAATAGCACATATTTTATGTAAAAAAAAAAGCTCCCTCCACACTCAAACCATGCCATCTCACAGTCCACCTCATCCCCAGTTTTTCCCCCTTTTCAGTCAGTTAAGCTATCCCTAAACCAAACATTAAGTAAGAAAGGGTGTCAAAATTATTTTTATCGCTAAAACAAATTAACGTCAAGTGAATTAACAGTAAACGAGTTATACCTGTATACTATTTTAGGTGGCTCGGTGCATGGTTATACATGAGTTGCTTGGCTACAGGCCAAGGAATATCAGGATCAAATCTCCACTTATAATATTTTTTTCCCACAGTTGGAGAACCAGTTTAAACCGGTCATGTGTGCCGTGTGTTTACGCCAGGGAAAACACACTCCAGAGGAAGTGGCTGAGCATATCAAGATGCAACAGAAAAGTGATAAAAAGCTAAATTTCAACCAGGACAATGCACAAACCCTCGTGGGTAATTCTTCAGAATCTGAAGGAAAAAAACCAACAGAATGCAAATGGGGACTTGATGAGATTAAGGACGTGACATTTAAACTGGAAGATGGTAGCACAGTGTCGGCTAATCGTGAGTTCTTGGCAGAAAAAAATGAGGTACTGAGAGGAATGCTTAAGGGCACATTTGTCGAGGGAGTAAGTTCATTTGTTGAGTGGCCATGTTCGAGTAAGACGCCTGTAGAGATGCTTATACACTTCTTGTATGGATGTCGATGTGACTTCATGGAAAGTAGAGACATTAAGACATATATAGAGCTGATGTTCCTGTCTCAGATGTACTTGGTTGAAAATTTGTATTCCTACGCCGTGTTCAAAATGATGTCATCCATAAGTGACGGTGACGACATTATCAAGATTTACGAGAGTGGTGTTGGACGTATGAAAAACCTATTACAGGCTCTCTGTAAAGCTCTTGTGAAACCAATGAAGACATGGAAGAGAGCTCGCTGGATGAAGGAACTCTTCCAGTCTGAACACTCTGAAGACATTGACCATAATATTCGTATGATTATCCATCATCCCTTGAACATGAATCGTTATGTTTGTAACTGTGATCTATCTTTATCCTTATACATGGCTTGTGAGAGTGTATATGGAAAACTTTGTTGACTGTGTGCCGAGAATTCAAAAGTAGTGCTCTTTTGTGTAAATTACTACAGTTTATGTATCTAACTGTACATAGTCACATTCTGTTCTTCGTCACTTTTCAACAAGTTTAAAACATTCACAGATTTTTCTTTTCATTCGAATGTCATTATATCATATACTTCTTTAGTATGTGTTCACAGACATTGTTTTTGTTGTGTTTCGTATATAAACATTACGTACTTCTTATTAATTTATCAAGTTACTGTAATCCTTAGGTAGTCATTTTGCTTGATGAAACCACCAAAAACTGAAGTCTGCAATTATTTATTCAATCTATCACTCAACAAAGATTTAAAAAAAACCAAAAGTTAAGAAGATTAACAAATCAATTAGATGAAATTATCACAAGAATCTCAAGGAAAATAAGTACTTACTGAATTCAGAAAATACTATACAACCTTTTCAATTTTACATTTCTGATTCCACTACATACTTCCATCTCCTGCACCTACACCCAAATTAATTTCCAACAGTAGATCATAAACACATTAAATATTGGGACAGTCACCCAAGATTCAGACTCATGAACCTGAAGCAGTAGACGCTGATGCATTATTCTTTCCATAAATGCTTTGGGTTCATGAATCTGAATAATTACCCACTTCAGTTTTGGGTACTTTAATCAAGCCAAATGACTACTACTAGAAGATAATGTACATCGTTTTTTATTAATTTCTTGCAAGATAATAATTACAGTATTGCAATTAAGGACTGTATTGAGTTGAATAAATAAATTTTTTTCTTCATTTATGACTTCAGAACTGTTTAACTTCACTACACTACACACTTCGTTTCAGATTTTTGTGTTGGTTGCATATAGTGTATGAATTCATAGCAAGAACAGCATTTTCCTTATTTGGTGATGTGTTATGTCACCCACAACATATATTTGGAGACCTTGTACTGTATATTAACAATTAAGCACAGTGTCGCTGTTTTAATACAAGCATTTATTTGATCTCCATGAAAATCTGAAAGGCAGTGTATACATTTTTTGACGCAACCCTGTTTATTGAGGATTTATAAGGTTGTTTTGTTTTAGAATCAGATCGTCAATATCACTGTGTTTTAAACTGGTAAATGAATGTGGGGTTTTAGTGTAGGACCCTGCCTGCCTTATACTGTACTGCAGGCTGTAGTTGTTCCTGTAGTGATGATGATGAAATGGGCATTGATGTACTGTACTAACACACCCAGGCAATGGATCCCCACTACCTCACATATCAATATTCATTATATCTTTTTACTACATAATTAAGGTGTTTTTCTATTACCTCCTAAACAAAGATGATTATATTCCTCAAGAGCAAAGTTTCTTACACTATCCCATAAATGAAGTGTACAGTTAACCCTCACTTTACGCGTCCCGATTCGCCGTTTCACGCAACGCAGTGCCTTGCCAGAACCGGCTCACATTACGCTGCACGTGGAACCCCATTACGCTGGAGAGTGTCCGCGCGACGCTATTTTCGATTCGCCCACCCGCCACGCCCGCCTGCCTGCCTGCCTGCCTCCTCCTTCCTCCGCTTGGGCAAGCGGTGCGTAAGGTTGCAGAAGTGTGTGTCTTTATTGCGTTATCACTGACGTCATATGACGATCAGACCTGTGATTGGCCATGCATCCCTACCCCCTCTGCTGCTAGCTGTAATTGGCTTAAAGTATTATGACGCGGTCCACCGGGAGGGAGGGAGGGAGGAAAGACGACGCTTGACCTAGCCGCGGCAGTTTCATCCTCAAGGCCACTCCGGGTAAACGCCGCATCCATTGTCCCGAAAATGGCTTCCGCTGACTACCACCCCCAGGAAGCCCTGACAACTGTAAGACAGTGATGGGATTCACTAGTAATGGTGATTCACCGAGTAAGGTGATTCACCTGAGGCCAGTAATCTCCCTCTGCCTCGAACCAGCCTCCATCCCGATGCCGACCCATCTTTCTTCTACTACCGTAAGTGTTACACCTAATTTTTAGTTTTCTAACCTAACCTTTATTTTTCCTATGTTAACCTTTATCTTTCCTAACCTAACCTCTTCTATATTACTTGTTTTTCATACCATCATAAAGTTAAGATAAAATTTTTACTACAACATAGTTGTGTGTCGTCAAAAGTGGAGTTTGGGGTCTGGCCCGACTCCAATTAATCCCATATGTTATGTTCACTGCCTCACTTTACGCGGGGACCTCCGGGTTACATTAACCGCAGAAAGTGAGGGTTAACTGTACTTGTAATACCTTTGGTAAGTAAAAGTAGGTGTTTGTGGTTGGAGTTAATTATGTGTAATAAATTAACTTGCAATTCACTGATTGTCTTGTGATTTCATTATTATATTATTCTAGGGCAGGAAAAATGATCTGGTTTGATTTTTGAGGGAGAGATCAAAGGTCAGTGTTACGTGTGCCAAAAATAGGCTAACATAGTCTTTCCTGTTATCATTGTAATTTGATCTTTTTAATTGCTGCAACACATTTTACTGCATTGGTCTTCCTTATACACAAGCAAATTTAATAATGTAATTTCGGATGAAAGAATACTGTACTTTTATTTAGTCCGGTAGAAGATCCAGACTCAATAACCCATCACTCATGTATAATGGGAAGATGTAGATTCTGTTTATACACCTATTTCTTTTTTATTTCACTTCTGTACACTCGCTCCAGAAAGTATCTTTACGATTTTGTGAGACAACATGACACAACAGACCAAGGATTTTGACAACCCTGCCGAGACAACAGGAGTCACTGTTTTCATTTTTGAATTCATCGGACCTTTCTGTAAAGACCCCACCCAGGTCTGCCACCCCAAGCTGACCCCCATCAATACCTTCCCCACCCTCTGACCTGCTAGTACAGGAAGGCCTTGAGTCTGCAGGTATGGTAGTAAGAGGGATGGATGATTTGATCATTTAATGAACTTGATCTTGTGTTCGTGAAACTACAGATTTGTGAACAAATGCCTTCAAATATATTTTGTGAATGCCAGTCATGTATTCTATATCCACATTATTTTGAGTAATGTAAAAATCCACAGATCAATAAACTTGGTATTTATATTGGACATAATGGTGTTTGACACATTATGTAACTATAGGATGTTGTGTGACTGTAGGATGCTGTTGTAGGATGTTGTATGACCGTAGGATATTGAAGCTACTTTACCCTTGGTCCCCAACAATATCATCTTTGAAAAAATAATCACCCCTTAAAGACCCCTACCTCCTTTAAAAAAATCCTAATCTTAGCCCTCAAAACTCCTAATCTCACTCACGTATGATACTAATCTCACTATCGTTATTCTCGTCCTCCGCTCTGCTCTTGGGAGGCAGCTAGACACTCAGAACACATTAAACTATCACATGCTATTCCGGTGAACTTCTGCCACAGGGAAGGAAGTTTTGGTCCTTACTCTTGTCTGCAGGTTGTGCAAGATGGTGCATTTAGAGAGAGGGAGAGAAACACACGCTCAATACAATTTGGGAGAGAAAAAAGATAAGTTTGAGAGAGAGAAGAGTTACAACCATGAGAGAGACTTAGAGAGAGAGAGAGAGAGATAGTTACACTCTTGATACAGTTTTAGAGAGAGGAATACTTTATCGAATATTAAAGAGATAAATCCTTCATAGAGACTTAGAATAAAAATAAATAAAGAGAGGGAGATACAAGCTTGATGGAGACTAAGGGAGACTTTAAGAGATAACCAAGGAGCCAGGACACAGACTCTCACACGCTTGGCTAGACTCCTCCTCGGGGAACGTCACACACCTTTAAGACACACCTGGCATTAGTCATATCAACGAGGAAATTCAATATCCCAGTAGCTAGAATGAACTCCAGTGGTGAAATTCTCTATCTGAACGTTCCTCAGTCCCTCTTGGCTTCTTGTTACTACCAATTATTATCACCTTTATGTCTTCCCATTCTCAAACTCATTACACTGTATTCCCTTATTCGATCACTTCTCTTCCTTCTTCTCCCTTCTCTGTTCTCAATCTCAATACTACGTCACCTTTCTCACTTCCCACCCTCACATTCACTAATCTCACCTCCTGTGATATTAGTATGAGGGATGCTTGTCAATTTTCCGATTTTTTCTGGACACTACCAAAATTGTCAATACCTGGGATTTTCTTGCAGGTGTGAAGTATATAGTGTTTTTGTAAGTATGTATTTCCCTTTATAATGTTAGTTTGATGATGTTTCTTCAATTTTATATCCGTCATTTTGAAACACGTGTATGAACAAACGACTGGTGTTCATTTTGTGTCGTAATATTGTCCAAAATGTAAGAATTTATGAGCTGACAGGAGTGTTATGAGGAGATACCCGCCTGTGGATTAGGTTCATAACGGGACTGTTTTTAGTATTCATTATCACTGTTCATCCACCACTGTGTATTCTGGTACTTCACTATAATGACGTCACAGTACTGTATATAGATGGAAAGATAATTGAAGGAATGTGTGTGTGTGTGCGTGTGTGTGTGTGTGTGTGTGTGTGTGAGTGTGTGTGTGAATCATTTGAACTTTTGTGGAACTCTAATCCTTTATCCCCTTCTTATGTTTACAATGTCAGCTACTGGAGTGAGAGAAGAAGAAATGTAAACTGCAATTAAAAAACAATTACTCGTCAGATATAAGCTATTTAGCACATGTAAATAGCTTGAATGGGTACACCATGCATAGTCTTAGCATCGAACCAAGGATTCCTAGCCGAACCTAACCTAACCTAACCAAGTGGCCTAACTATAAATTTTGGTTAGGTGAACAAAGTTGAGATATGGTTGGATCATATGTCGCCATTAATGGTTTACTCAAATATGACCAACACAAACAACTTGTCTTTACATATACTGTACTACAGTGGTGCTCGTGCATAGGGCTGCAGTCCCCCAGACACTCACTGCCAGGCGTATGATTCCTTTAGAGAGACAGCTGAATAATACACTACCAACAAATATATCATTTTATATGTCATTTAATTATTTTCAATACGTTGCTAAGTGAATTTTCATTAAAATCAGACCAAAATTTAAGTTACTTTCATAGTTGCTGTCAATGCTGTACGATTCATGTCTGCTATTAATTGGCGCCATAATGAGCTGCACTTGAAGCAGCTCAGTCTCATACAACGGGATTACGTGTATAGATCGTGCTTTGTGTAAATCAGAAAGTCTCATAGACTTGTTGGAGATGATGAATGACAATAATCTACAGTCAACCTTTTCAGACACTGTCAAGTTGCTGAAATTTAATAACAACTCCAATGACAACGGCAGAAGCAGAAAGTGTGCTTTTCAACTTTGAAGAGAATTAAAACTTTTTGCGCAGTACCATGGTGAATGACAGACTGTCTGCTTTAGCAGTGATATCCATTGAAAATAAAATGATAACAGAAATAAAGGATTTTAATGAAATAGTAATAAACAATTTTGCTACATCGAAGAGCAGACACGCCGACTTTATTTTCACTGGTCCATCACCACCAACACTACTACCATGCCCTGGGAACTCGTGGACATCAACCACAACTCATACCTGAGGTAGGTCACCTACTGTTGTGTGAGGCTTGCAGTCCCTCCAGTTTATTTTTCACGAGCCGCCACTGGACTATGACATCACACACACAGAAAATGTCATGGAAAAATAGTCCTATTAACGAAAAAGAATCACAGTACCGGAAAATTGTCAGTGTAGGTCTGTGAGTACGTTACTTCTTTTTGGGGTTCTGGCCATAATGACTTGTTGTATTTCCCAGTGGCAGGTTATAAGAAGGAGCTATACTGATTCAAAAAGATCAATAATGTTGTATATGTATCATAGAGTAGTGACAACAGAGGCAGAGGAAACCTGAAATCAGTGTCTCATCCCGCCTCCACCACCACCCAGAAGGAGGGGGAGAGGGGGGCAGGGGTGGGGATGCTGACGTCACACCTTTTCCCCAGCAGTTAAAGGAGAGCTCTGATGGGCTTTACCGGAATCCTAGTGTATATTTCTAAGTATTCAATTTCCTTTCTAATTAATATTTTTCCAGGTGTCAAATTGTCAATACCTGGGATTTTCTTGCAGGTGTGAAGTATATAGTTTTTTTGTAAGTATGTATTTCCCTTTATAATGTTAGTTTGATGATGTTTCTTCAATTTTATATCCGTCATTTTGAAACACGTGTATGAACAAACGACTGGTGTTCATTTTGTGTCGTAATATTGTCCAAAATGTAAGAATTTATGAGCTGACAGGAGTGTTATAGAGATAGCCGCCTG